AGGGATGGTCTACTCGTATGTGACATCCATTAGATGCCAGTTGGATAAGGTGTCGAAGGAAGAGCTTCCAATTTTCGCGTGCCTGTGATGTGGGACGGGTTTGCATGTGGTGTATGCGCTGGTGAGGCGAGGTGTTTTGAACTACGGTGTTTTATCGCAGGTTTTCATGGACACGCGTATGGTCGGGTAGGTCCATGTGGTGACTGAACCTGCGTCCATAATGCGGGCAGTTGGTGAGGTGGCGACGAGGACATGCTGATGCTCCTGAAATTTTCTCGCCAGTCTATATGCAATGAATGCGCAGATGGCAGACCAGGGTGGTGTGTGATTCGAAGGTCCAAACCTGTTTGTAATATATGCAGAGCGGCCAATCCTGACTGAAGTCATCACACGTGGCTGCGTTGATTTGCAAATTCCTAGCGGAGGTCCGTAAGTTGTCCCTGTAGCGTCATTTTACTGTCCTTGTCGGCTAGCACTTATAGCTTCTTCGCCGTAGAAGAGTTGCTTGGGTAGACGCTCAGTCATTCGCTCTCGCGAGATGGTTACTCCAACACAGTTGCATTTCTTTCAGCAGGGCTAGGATGCTGAGGATTCTGGTACATTCCAGGCATTCCGTGTCCGCGATCCTGTTCTACCATCTCAGTTTCAGCATTTTGCGTACAACGTTGGTGTGGAAGTGGTTCAACTTCCTGGTTTGGTTGGCGTAGATGGCTCATGTCTCCACCTCGTAGAGTAGTGTCATCGGAACTACCGTTATGTGCATTTTTAGTTAGCGTTCAAGCGCAGCGATTCTATACTCAGGTATGTAACTGGCGAAATGCTTGACTGTGTTTTGAGATTCAATGTACCATTTCGTCATCGATCCTGGCACCTCGTGCGATAGTGCAGCCTAGGTGGAACAAGTTTAGCTTAATCGATGGGGACGTGGGATTCTCTTTAATCAGTGTCCAGCACTGGCTGATGCATAACCCTCGTCTCCTTGATATTGATGATCAATCAGACGTTGGCACAACTAAAGATAACGATGTCTGTGTTCCTTCGCATAGCCACTTCCGCCGTTCTATGGAGTGTACAGTCCTCCGTGCATAGTAGGCCGTCGATGCTGGTCTGGGGCTCTTTTGAGTCTGCTTGCATGCTTCGTACGTCGAGCAGTTGGCCGGTGAGCCCACAGGAGATGCTACTTACTGACCGCTCCTCAGTGTATGCATTCATCAGCACAAAGGAAAACAGGAAACGGAAGAGGGTTGGGCGGCGTGTACACCTCCAGTTTTATTCCATGGATCATTGCAAATACTTCCGAAATTGACCAACTGTCCGTGAAGTGAACCATATTTCTGTCGTGTAGTTTGTGTAAAGCGCTGCGAGCATCTTCGAGACTTCGTCGGTATTCAATATATCGGAGGGCTTCATCATGTCTAAGGAGGTAGTGTAGAGACTTGTCAACATTTCCTAGAATTTTTCTTGTAGTTAGCGCGTGCCTTAAATCATGTCGATAGTGTCGCTGTTCCGACAGAATCCGCATTGGCTTTCTTTGAAAAGCCCTTTTCGAAATGGGGATTTAGAAGATTTAAATGGATGCAGGCAAAACCTTTCTTCGCAAATGTGAGGAGCAAACTGCCGCGGTAGCTGCTGCGGGGCCGACCATTAGCCTTGCGTTTGTACATGTGTACAAAGGTGGTAGCCTGAAAGTCCTGGAGACTTTGTCTTTGCAGTCACACCTCCTGGAACGCCGATGGAGTTGTATCCAGCGGACGGCCGCTGAGCTCGTAGAGGT